ATCATATACTACTATTTGTAAAATTATTTTTAGCATATTGCAAGGCAATTAGTATATGGTTTGAAACATCAATGTGTAGGTGTACAGCTAAGGCTGTTCCGCTATACTGATTGAAAATGGAGAAAACAGATGATACAAGGGCCAAACATCTTATGAAATGCACCTATTTATAGATTTGTTTTACTATAGGGAGGCTGGTGAACACACTGAATAAGAATTACCTCAGTTCTGCAGCTTTCTATGTCTTTTTAATGCATTCTGTTTCAGGGTCACTTTCAATCAATATTTCATTTACTTACTGAGATTGAATAGGCGCTCTGAGACACAGTGTGCTGTTTATCATACAGATTGGACACCTCATTCTAGATCCAAGATCTTTTCCTCAACACTGGGAGCTGTCCTTTCAGCACCACAAAATTACTGCTTGAAGTTGCATTGCAGTTTTTTTTTCCCTTTATCACCTGGAGCTTTTCTTTCAGCACCACAACATTGCACTTAGACTTTTTAAATGGCTGCCTTCCTCTTTGCACTGAAGACCAATTTCGTCTGCACTTCCAGTTATTGCTATTACCTGTAGGACTTTCAATCCTATTTCACCCCCACCACTCCACCCCTTTCTACAAACAGTTTAAAACTATCTATTTCTGTGGAAGTCATTTTTCTCATTGAATGATCAGAAACAAAGATAAATTCTAACCTTTAACGGCTCATTCCGACTCATTGCTTACAGTAGATCTAAGCTCTTTTTTCTGCTTATTCGACTCCTTCCAGCTTCCCATCACATCTGTAACAAACTTTTAAAATATTGCCACACCACCATGCACAAACCTACCTGCACAGTAGAGATAGATTATTCCATCACATTCAGATGGTTAACAGAGGTTAGCGAGTCCTGTATTTATATATCTATATATTTATATCGCTTTCTAAGAAAGTGCATATTAATGTTTACTTTAAAGAATGTGTAAATGGTGCTATCAAGAAATCTGATAAATTTTATCCCAGTTTTTTGTGTACCACTTCAAATGTATGAGATTTATTTTTCTATTGGAAAAAATAAACAGTCTTAAAGCATTAAAATTGGTAGATTTTAGTAATTTAACAGTGAATGTAATCCCTATGTCAGAGTTTCATTGGAATTTTTCATGATGGGTCACACAAACTCAGTACACATCCTGACATGTATTGCACAGTGTGATATGAACATTCCCCCTTAAGGTTATGCCTAATGCAAAGTGTCAACAAGAACAGGAGCCTAAGAAATCTGAGGCAGACATGCTTGAGGAGACATGCTTTATTACTACAAGAAAGCATTGGTTACATGTACTGGGACTGGTGGTTCTTCAGATGGACAAAAACAAGCTAAATATGTATGCATATGGTACACAGTATTACAGATTTGTAAAATACTGCATGTTTTGTTTAATCTACTAGGAGGAAAGTTAATTTAGCCTTAAGTATCTAAAAGTTTTCCCTCCTGGAATCTGTTTGTTTTCTCATAGGCATTAATATACATAGCTAGCTGCAGTTGTATGTCAGTGCCATTTACACGATTGGTAAGTATTATGTGCATTAAAAAAAATCAGCAAAACATATAGCATAGACGGTTCATTCACGATACTTTAAAGTACTAAATATCAATTCATAGAATACTAGCATATCACCTATATCTTACGAAAACTCAGTGCCACAAACTGAATTTGCAGAAAAGGTACAGATCAAAGCAGTTGGGTTTAGGAGGGGAAATGTCATATTCAACAAATAATATTACTGGAATGAGAAATAATTGTTTCATTGGTATTTAGGGGGGGAAGTATTCAGTCTTGTGTACTTAAAAAAACACACACACATTTTGTGCCATATTATTGTAGGACAGTTGTCCCCCTGTTACAATTGTAAACATACACTGGGGAATTTCTAGATGGTGTTAATGTGAAAGGCTAGACATTTTAATAAATTTAAATGGGTCTGAAGCATATATAGCAATCTATTTTGAGAGTGCTCTGGAGAAATACTTATTTGTATTTGTTTTATAAATATACACATTTATTTTTTATTTAAATTATATAGAATTTGTAATGTAAGGAGTATATAATGCCTATTTTCACTTTTCAGTTTTATGGAAGAAAATTAAATTCTTCATAATCCAGCTCCCTGTTCTGGACACTGTGCTCCAATGTGCACATGGAACAAGTTCATCTTGTGTGCACATTCTGTGGCATATATGTGGTCCATTGTAATGAATGGGGATAATCAAGCAGGTAAGAACCTGCCAGTGCAGTGCTATACATGTTTACTCGGAAGTAAGTCCCATTGAATTCAGTGAGACTTACTTCCAGATCTGTGCTGATAGATTGCAGGATTTATGTTTGAGATTGCATGAGCCTATGATCACAGTATCTCTTTCATAAAAATGAACAGTGAAATATGGTAAGCTTTCATATTTGTTTGAGAAAATCTAATGATATACTACCCTTCAATATTGCAATTAAAGCTCGATTGCTCTGGAACCCAGAATGAAGAAGTATTCTTATTCTTTGGAATTCTAGAGTAATAGAGAGAAAGATAGGATCTCACATCTTCTATGACATATGCTCTGCCCATTGCTCACAAATGGTAAATAGGGATGTTCCAGTAATAAATGACATTGTTTGCAATATTATCAACACGATGCAAAATTCTCCATTACTGATTGCTGACCTTAATTTTTTAAAAGGAAAAAAAAGGAATTGTTTTGCTGTTTTATTATTAGCTGCCCTGGGCTCCTTTGGGAGAAAGGGCAAGATTGAAATTTAATAAATAAATAACCCGAAAGGGACAAACCGTCCAAGACCAAGGAAGTAATGTAAATGAAAATTATACTCACTGTCAGGGGGGCATTGTGCAATATAAACCCTATTTGTAGTAAACTATGAATATAAAGGAGTCTTGCTATTTTTCTATATCATAATACTAATATGATCATAATGAATTTATTTAACATGCCATGTTGGAAGTGTTGCCATTTTAAACCATGTCTATGTTATGTAATGTGACTAAGTTTAATATTTGCCATTTGCTTGGGAAGGAAACATTAAATGTGTAACTGATGGTGGCGGGACCATGTGGCACTTTTAAGCAGTGATCATTTGTATGAATCTACATATTAAAATAATCTTTAATACTGATGTTGCTTGTATTAACTGTTCTTTTCTTCTTTTTTCTTTTCTTTGCACAGGAAAAAAAGCATGCTAAGTAATCAAATGGTTGTTATTCTAAATGAGTAGTCCTGATCTTAGAAAGATGCACAGAAGTCTTGAAATCTACTGCTCAGTATTTACTGGCAGATATATCATCTTTACAGCCCCTCAAGGAGATTTCTTTCTCTTAGAAAGCAATTGTAAAGATCAGGCATGTCATGAGAACCTATCACACCAGGGATGTGATTATCTGACCGTCATATCCCATATTGTCTCTCACACATCAAAAATTGAGCTCAGCTTCATACGTTGATTTAACAGCGCTTACAACACCTATTTCTAGAGATTTGCTTTTAAACTTAACTATGATTTTTTTAAAAAAACAACCTCATCTTAATATTAGACAATAAAGCAGTAAGAAAATACAAGTCTAATATTCTCTCAATGTTGTATTTTTATAATCTTAATGGAAGCATGGGAAAATATACAAGATCTAGATTTGCAATATGATGGGAAATTTAGAAAACAGTTCCCCATTATCACCTCAAACAAGTTATAAAATTACTGGCAAATTTGAGATAGAAATGTGTTTGTTCGTTCATTGCATTTCTGTCCCAGCTTTTTCTGCAGGAAGCTCAAGGTAGCATACATGGTTCTCCCCCTTCTCAATCTCCACACAACCCTGTGAGGTGGGTTAGGCTAGCAGCCAGTGACTAGCCAAAGTCACCCAAAGAGCTTCATGGCCAAGTGGGAAATTGAACCCTGGTTTCCAAGTCCTAGTCTCTTAACAGCTTCACCACACTAGCTCACAGTATTAATACCACGATAATATCCAGTGTCACCCTGTACTAGTGAATTTTATTCCTGGGCCTGCTCCAAGGTATCTGGGGCATTCACGGGGTTTCACATACCAGAGTTTTATCTCTATTCTACTTGCAAGCAAATATTAGGCATGTAGTGAAAAATTACTGTGTGTGCATGAAGCATTTTCTTTCAGACTGGAGAGCAGGAAGTCCTTATGAGATCATGTCCCAAATGACATACAGTGAAGATCACTGCATTATAAAATGATTTTGAAAAAAATAACTTAATTGAACTAATGAACTTTTTAAAAAATCTTAAAAATTAAGACATATGATTTTGTGTCATTGGGCATTGCACTACATTTACCATACTAGATTTAAATCAGGCTCAGAGCTGAAAGATTTGCATACAATCCCCAATTTAAAGCATGCTTTACTTTTATTTCATTTTTGGCTAGTTAATATGCATAAACTGCATTGGATCTGTGCTTTCATCCTTGCCTAATTTGTTCTTCGAGAAATATAAGTCTCTCATGTTTTTCATTTACAGGCACAGGACTGTAATTTTCAAGCTATTTATTCCAGAATGACCCTATTTGTGTGAACTGGCCTATCTGAAAGTAAAGACGTGTAGGAGTGTTACCTACTTTACAGTGTGCTAATAATGGAGACTAGAGCAGTGAAAGGAAATAGAAATGGGAGTGTGGAGTGCATGACAAAACTCTTTCCTTTTTCCTTCAGGAGATGTAATTTGGTGGTATGAGGTGGGCAGACAAGTTGGTTCTAAAATATTATCCAGAAGAAATGAAAAGATGTAAAGTATTTTTTAAAAAATAGTAATTTGCAGCAGATGATCTCTTGTCATGTAATCCAGCAGTATCAGTTCAAATGTCTGGACATAGTAATCATGAACCAAGGAAACAAAAATAAGCCTACTTTTCATGGCGTTTTTTATAAGCCATTGAGACATCTTTCACGGGTAAGCAAAAATTTTTTAATTTGGGCTAATGTCAGCAATATATTCCCTTAATTATGTGTAGGGAATCCATTTTTTGAATAAAAATACTATCTACTGTAGGAAAATCTATTGACTTATTTAGACTTCCTTCCTCATTTGTAAAAGTTGGTTTTTAAGAACCTGGAAAAGTTTACTATTCATAAACTCACAAGGCGAAATAGCCGTCGCTACATTGTTCCTTTAGGCTTTTTCCCCTAATGTGTGTGTTTGTGTGCGCATGTGCATGTGTACAAACACTGGAGTTGCCTCAAGTGCACTAATGCCTCCCATTTGTTTCTTAGTGGCTCCATTTTGTCTACAACTCTGCCAGCACTCGCCAAGAGTCTCAAGGGTGCAAGACTCTTAAATGTTATCTTTTTCTGGGGGAGATAATGGTTTAAAGGACCTGCTATATATTATGGTTATGCTGCAAAACAACAAAAAGTTAGAAGAGCATCTATGGTTGTTTTAATGAACAAAACCAAAATCTGCCATGCTTCCACAAAGATAATTTCTAGACAGAAAGAGAGGTGAAAATCTCCTGCCAGACCTGTTTCCTAAACAGCTTTTAGTAAGTCAAATCCATCTTGTTCCATGGTTATTCCAAAGATATATCCCAGAAACATAGATGTAGATAGAAAGCTGGTGTTAAAAAAATAAACATCAACGCTGCTTTCATCATTCCCTTAGCACAAAAAATGGTTGAATAAGTGCAGTTGTTTTTCTACAGAACTAATATACCTATTGTACTCATGTGTTGCCCCTTCTTTTGTCAAAAAGGGCAACTAATGTCCTATCTCACTGATACCTATAATGCGGTCCAATTGAATCAGTTAAGGTTGAATTAGAAAGAATCCTAAATCACTCTGATTTTCACCATGCGGCTGTTTGGACAGCTGAGAACCAGATTGGATCAAGCTGAAACATACCATAATTCTGCAAGAAGTCTCCCTGAGCATTCATCATAAATGTACTTGTGTGAATGTTATTCTGAGTCAACATGCACACCATTTGGGCTGCACAAATCAAGTAAATCGAACCTAGCTTTCCTTGATGACACAAGAGCACATGATAATGCATAATAATTCAGTTCTATGTTATTAGCAAGCTCAGTCTTGTTAGCAACTGTTGCAATTAGGTCCTGTTTGCAGGTTTCCACAGGCATCTGGCTGGCCACTGGGAGAACCGGATGTGGAACTCGATGGGCCTTTGACCTCATCCAGCAAGGATCTTCTAGCATAGCGGTTCTTAACCTGTGGGTCCCCAGATATTGTTGGACTACAACTCCCATCATCCCTGAGCTCTGGCCTTGCTAGCTAGATAGGAGTTGTAGTTCAACAACATCTGGGTACCCACAGGTTGAGAAAGGCTGTTCTAGCATTATATTTTTAGTCATCTCACCCAGTACTTCCAGCAATATGGACTGCTGTGAAGAGCATAAGCAAAACTTTAATCTGTAACCTTTTCAGATATTAATGCAATTATGAGACATATGCATAGTCTTAAGGGTGTAATCATTTGTAGGCTGCACAAGAGTCTTGACTATGTGGCCACCAAGTCACAGATTGCTTGACCCCTAAACGTCAATGCAGGAGTAGACAGCTTGAAGACCACAATTCATAATGTGATCCTGAAATGGGCTGCTAATCCAGACACAAGGTGAAGGAAAGTCCTATCCCTGGAGAAGTGATCAAGTAACAGATATCAGTGCTGCTACTGCAAGTAAACAATTCAAACCTCTACTTATTCAAGGTTTTACACAGCAAAGGCCCAATCCCCTTGTTGAACTTCCTCTATAGCCAATGTGTAACTTGTATATTCTTTTACCAAATTGTTTTCTTGGGAATAACACTGGCTAACCAATATATAGGCGTAAATTAGCCTTAAGCTGTTGCTATATAAAAAAATAAAAAAAGGAAGGAAGTGAAACCTCATCTTGCAATTGGTGCATAGGTTTAATTACAAACTATGTATTGCAGACATTAGTCCCTGATTATGTTATCACAACACTATGAATAAGTAAGAGACTGATGTTGCATTCTTATTTATACATTAGTTTAACTTCAGCTAATTGAATATTTGACAATATGCTATTCAGCGGTTGCCCTTCTAAATCTAATCTCTTAATATCAATAGATGTATCAATAAAGACAAACATTAAAAATTAAAAGCTAAATTTCTAAATTTAGCCAAGATTTCTTTTTTCTACAAGGAAAAACAATTAAGATTTTTGGGGAAAGTTGACTGAAAGGGATTTATAGTGTTTTCCCTTTTTTCAGCGTGAGTTACATTGGCATGAGCATGAGAGATTTCTATACTTTGTGTTCTATACTTTGTGTTAGTATTTACAGTTACACTGCTGAAATCTCCGTGGGTTGAAAAACGAGGGAGCAATTCACCAGGGTCCTTAAACCCCCTCCGATCAGTGCAGGCCCCATTAAAACAAATGGGAACTGTACTAGAACACAATAGTATTTATTTTCACATCCCCTGAGGATCTGTGCAACATTGGAATGAATGAAAGTGGTGCTGGAGAATGGTAGCGCTCTTGCACCACTCTCATTCATTTTGGAGGGGTGGAGGTTGCACAGCAGAACTTCCCAAAGGTTTCTACTTAAACTATATTCATTTCTTCATTTCATTTCTTCTGTTTTGACAATTGAGCTATCTTTCTACAATCTTGTATTCCTAAATGTCACTAACACTTCAGCCTTTTTTGTTTGTTATAGATCCTCAGCGGAAGACATGGTGCGCCATCTCTGAACATAACTGTTATGGTGGGATTTATATTCACTGGGGGTGGTAGCAGTGGGTATTACGGAGTAATACTACTGTTACTTGGCTTCAGATGTTTTGCTATAAAAATTAATTGAGTTTTTGAATTAAAAAAGAATCCAAAGATTTAAAAAGTTGACTTATTTTCAACATTGATATTCTTACAAATAAAACCGCTATGTGTGTATTAGAATGCAATCTATGCCTGTATGAGTCTTTATTTTTAAAACAATTTTTTGCCCTATATTTAATTATACAATTTATTTATTATTTCCTAAATTTATATCCCACCCTTGCTTCCAAAGGAGCCAGTGAAAACAGAGGTTTAATTATAAAGCTCAGCTCTAAATCTAAACCACCCAAATTAGTTTTGAAAGCTTTATTTGAAGTGAAAAATAGAAGAGCATTCCAAGGAATAGTTTAGATCACATACTCAACTTCTTGCATTCATTCTTAAGGACCTGGAGCAAAATAAATAAATAAATAAGGGAAAGGAGAAGATCCACATTGAGCAGCAACATATTTCAAGGTCCTCAAAAACCACAACAATATAACATCTCATACAATTTACTACACATTTAGAAAAGTTTGGACCCATGGAAGACACAGCAGGGGTCAAGTGAAATTACTGTCTACCTAGAGTGACCCAATGGAAATGCATAACAGACTCAGAGAGGCCCTTGAAGCAAGGCCTAGAACTACTTAAGTATTGCGTAGGGTCGGTCTCACCATGTGAGAACTACAAGTCTGGTAGCAAAAATCTTCCCAATTTATTAATTCAATACTTTGCACTACCCTGACATTGCCATAATCGGGATACAGCAGGTACATATTCCCATGTTCTTGTCTCCTAGGCTGATTGCTCCAAAAACAAGAAAACACTTTCCCCCCATTTGTTGTGTGGATCGGAGAGGCAGAAGGAATATTCAGTTTGGTACAAGTCTTTCTTCAACACTTGAGTTACGCTTGGCTTGTGAATGCCAGTGTTTTGAGTGTGTGAAGATGCAACAATGGAATCAACACTTTACATATAAGGTTAAAGTACTGAATGGATGTCTGCCTGCAAGACTGAATCCCATGGGTTCTGACTGCTCAGTTTGTGTTCAGTAACCAATACACTTGCTATGGGATGTATTTGCCTTTCGATGCGTGTTTCCTGGCTGTTCTCCACTGAGCCATGTTGGGGCCCTTTCGAAGACTTTGCTATGTCTGTTAATAATTCTCTCAGTGTCTGAAAATCAAACTGAGCATGTTTTGAAAAAAGTATGAAGACACCCGCTGCAATAAACAAATACAATATGCAACCCTATAACTCCACCAAGTTGCACTGTTTAGATTTAAGGAAGATGAATGAGTTAATCAGGTAGGTGTTTGCCGTCTCTGTAACCAAGGAGATAAATTGTGATCAAATATAAAGAAGATTAATTTGGACGGCCCTTTTAAAGCATTTTATAGAAAATGGCATTCTTAATTACCTAATCAGCTATAAGGGAAATTGTAAAATTAGGTAGAAGATTAAAAATCTGCCTGATCTCAAACTATCCATGTATGTCCTGGTTTCTCAGAGTGGTCTTGCTTAACAGCAAAGCGGGATTCAGTCAGAAAGAAAAACATGATTTGGGGCAGCACTGTGGGCAACTACAGCACTTCTCACTAATGGGGAAACAGGTGTCTAAATTACTTGCTGGTTTCTCTGGCTGACATTAGGAACACAAGTCAATCGTCTGTTAATATATATTTGATGCCCACTTTTTACCACACAGTGGGCTGGATCTAGACTACCTATGACCCACAGGATACTTTGCTGATTCTCCTTGCTTCTATGCTCCCTGAAAAAATACTCCATAGCTTTGGAAGACCCTCCAGATCAGTGTGAAAAATGGCTGTAGAGGAATGGGTAAGAACTGTCTCTGTGTCTCTTTCCTATATCAAGAGAATTTGATGGATTTCAGTTCCTTCTGCAAATAATAATTACAAGAACAAAAGCATCTTCTTGGGAGCCAATGTACAAATTACTTTCCAAATGCAAGATAGTATGGTTTCTCTAAAATAAAAAAGCAGGTAGATTACAGTATAAGAATACTTAGAATCATCCATTTTGTAGAATCATGTAATTGTAAAAAGTTGGAAGGAATCCTGAGATTCATCTAGTCCAACCCCCTGGCAATGCAGGAATATGGAGCTGGATTGAACCTGCAACCTTGGTGTCATCAGTACCACACTGTAACCAGCTGAGCTATCCAGGCTCACAAGTTTTCAGAATTTGGCTTTCAGTACCCAGTTGAACAGAAAATGTGTTGTTGTTGTTAGTCATTCATTCATAAAATTTCTATACCACCCTTCATCTGAGGATTACAGGGTAATTTACAATGTAAAAGCAAAAATACCAGCATTGGTGCATGTTCCATTCATACCATGGAGACATTTGCTCAGAAACTTGACTTTCTATTCTCCATGAAGGCAAGTGCCCAATTTTTGTGTTATATTTCCCATATCATGGAGTATTGCTTTGTTCTCTGTGTGTTTGTTGAGGGAGCAAGACAGTGTGGAGGCAGTCCACTTAAATCTTGAAAAGGTATCATGGGTAGACTCCAAAGTAGGTCCGTTGTTATTTATGATAAATTTAAATCAAAGTTTAAAATAATTTTACATATCCATGGTTAGAAATATGAATATTGTTGTACTAATTTTATTTAACTATTTATTTAATAAAAGTTATGCATCACTTGACTGTAAAGCAGTCTACCAAAATAATCACATTTGTAATGCTGCAAAATTTGTATGTAATATTACTGATATATTTACTCATAGTAAACTTGTAATGTGCAACATTGGTAGAATAATTCATAGTTTTAATTATTGGCTTAAGCGAACATACAGTGGTACCTCGGGATGCGAACGGGATCTGTTCCGGAGCCCTGTTTGCATCCCGAAGTGAAAGTAATCCATGTCCGCACGTCTGCACGGGTCACGTTTTGGCACTTCTGTGCATCTCATCATCTCTAGCATGAGCCTGTAGTTTACTACAATTAACAAAACCCAATTAGCAGGATAACCTGTGCTTCCAGAAACGGGATTGGGGGGTCATGGCAGCCAGAGTGCTCCATGCACCCAGTGCCTTTGCCTGCCCTCGCATTCCATGGGGAAGTGAGTGCCCGACTGCCAGGCAAACAGTGGGTGAGAGCCAGGTTCCTCTTCCAACTGAAAAGGAATGCAGAAAATGCAACTTCTCCCATCATTTTCTGATTATCTCCATCTGTCTCTCTCCGCAGTGTTGGGACAGGCGTCCATCCCCTGGCAGACAGGAAACAGGAAGTGAAATACACTTGATCTGTGGCATGGTTAGAATTCAGGCATGGATTCATAGATCCTCTGCAGCCTACTCCCATCTCTAATCTCTTGGCAAAAAGGAATCATATAACAATACTTGTGAAATTTATTTTCAAAAACTTTGAGTTTTCATCTAGAACAAGGGTAGCACATTGACAGAAAGGCTAGAGCTATACTAGAACTAGGAGTAGAGGAATGAAAGAAGAGTTAACTAGATAGATGAAAGTGTGCATGGCAGCAAATGGTGGATACCAGCTTCTGGGTCCTGATTTCTGGAAGCTGCCAAAATCTTACCAAACCTTGCCTGCAAACATGAAATTTGGATACTTGCCACATTATTAAAGTCTCAGAATGCCATATCCTCCAATGAATGTGAAATTCAGTGTCTCTATAATGGTCCAAAATGGAAGCAATTATCAAAGTGGGCAAGGTGACTATGACAATTTACCTTTGCAAATTTCCGAGGCTGATATAACTAGTTGTTTTTGTATGTGTTGCCACATCTGCTGTGTTTCTCATGCTTAAGAAAGCAGGGATGTACTTCAGATTTCAAAGTGTATAGAAGAAATTAATTGAATGTTCGAAAAGGAAAGTCAGAAAGTGACATAATACAAAGTTTATATGATAGGGCCGCATGGCTGCATGTGCATGTTTTCTAGGCACATCCTCCTCTCAACATAAAATGGGTGGGATCATCAAATCCTAAAGAAGAGGGACTTCGCAGTCCCAGTCAACATCTGAGAGAGTTATATACCCGATACACCCTGGAAATTATGGCAAACAGCTTCATTCAACCTCACACATAAGCTACAAAAACTCCCCGAAGGATCACTTATTCTGGGCCAGGCATTCCCAAGCTGTGACCCTCAAACTATCAGGGAGGCACAAGCTTCATTCAGGTAGCTCACAGTGTGTTTGTAAAATTTCAGTTAAAAACCACACAGCACCTAGCACAATGCATTACAATTGCATTACAATTGCTAAAGCAGGCAAAAACATTGTTAAGCAGTGCACCAAGACCCCCAGCAATTTTCAAGTGCTCTGTGGGGAGGGAGGAACTTGGGAACCTAATATTGGGCTTTAGGAGCCTCAATGTGTTAACACAGCATAGTAATGCCCTCTCCTGGTAGATATGCCCCAATGTTTACATGTACAGAGTGTCTTTCTGGAAAACCATGGCCCTTTCCTTAGTTAAAGGTAAAGGTAAAGGGACGCCTGACCATTAGGTCCAGTAGTGACCGACTCTGGGGTTGCGGGACTCATCTCGCTTTATTGGCCGAGAGAGCCGGCGTACAGCTTCCGGGTCATGAGGCCAGCATGACAAGCCGCTTCTGGTGAACCAGAGCAGCACACGGAAACGCCGTTTACCTTCCCACCGGAGTGGTACCTATTTATGTACTTGCACTGCATGCTTTAGAACTGCTAGGTTGGCAGGAGCAGAGACCGAGCAATGGGAGCTCACCCCGTTGGGGGATTCAAACCGCCAACCTTCTGATCGCTGTGGGTTTAACCCACAGTGCCATCTGGTGATAAAAAGGGGCACACAATCCAATCAAAATCCAGCCCTCTTATTTAAATGAGGTTAGATCATATACCTAAAAGAAATGAAAACCCCCGAAATCATTAGAGTGTCCCTGGATCACCGTTTGCTTTGGCAGGATTTTGCTCTTTGTTTTACTTAGATGCTTCATGGTGGGACCCAGTTGGTGCCCTCTGATCCAACAAATGCTTTTGCTAACAGAAAACAAGAGATACTTTTTGCAAATTCATTATTTCTGCACCAAGCCTCTGGCCTGGTCTAGAAGAGCCCTCAGCTCCCTGGAGGTGATTTTCAGCTACTGCTGGAGGCTGCAGGGGGCATAGGAACCAGCAGAAATCTCCACTTCTCTTTTCATTGAATGGAGGCATCCACTGAATAAAAGCACTTCCATGAGCCCAAGGGCACCAACTGAATCCCACCCCTTGTAAAAACTTTTGTAAAAAAATAATGACTTCTCTATCATAACAGATACTGCAAGTCAAAATTGTACTTAGTTGCTTTTTCTGATGTTGAAATGCTTGCCAGCAAAGCATAGATGGCTAAATATGTTTTCCACCCATTTCCCTTGTTATCTGTGAGCAAAAGAAAGTAGAAGATACACACAACCAGTGTCCCACGTGTGCCACCTCATCACTGCAAGACAGTTCTGTTCACAGTTTTTGAAATGGTTCATTATTGCTTTCATCAGTCAAGGTCTTAGATTCAAAACAGGAATGGGGAACCTGTGGGCAGCCTTCCAGATGGGGAATAATAATAATAATAATAATAAAGCTGGATAACAACTCTCCTCTTCCCTGTTTGTCATGCTATCTGTAGATGATGGGCGTTGGAGTCCAGAAATGTCTAAAGGGACACAGGTTGCCCGTTCCCGATTTAAAAGCTTACGTTTTCATTTGCTTAAAACCTATTGTACACTAATGTAGCACAAAATATTTGCGTACAACCTTTATTTTAAAACATGCCTGCACAGCAGTTTCCTGTATTTTCCATTGTTGCAAGCCTGGAAATGCACACTGAAAAATTGCTTTTCCCCAAACCCAAAGTATGTCTCTGTCCCATGTTGATTACTGGCAATGTATTGGAGCACCTGAAATCCCAAGATGCAATGCTTCCTAAGCACAATAGTTAGGAATTGTGTATTTTAAATTGGGTAAATAACTATGAGTTCACAGAATCACTTTTATCCTAATACAAGGATCTGAGGCATATGAACGGGTCCATCATGCATTTTGCAAGCCTGATTTCAACGTTTTCTGAAGGGGTCATGGATGGTAAAATACTAGGACTTGAAGCTCTCATAAGCCAACATTTGGTGCTGTTTTCATTGTTGGGTGGGTAGGTGGGTGGGTGGAGGGAATCTAGAGTTATATCCCAAGCTTGAATGACTGACATGTCATTAGCACAACTGATGCCCCCTCTGTACCCTCAGTTTCCTGCACCTCCTGAAACATTAAAGGAGGGAAGCTCTAGTTGCACAATAATATTCTTCCCCAAATTGAGGGTTTTCCCTCTCTCACTGCCGTCCCTGTGTCATCCAATGCTGCTCAGAAGAGCCCCTAACCTCCCTGAAAGTGGGGTGGTGGTGTTTTTTCTCCAAATGGCAGCAGCAGGGAGGAGGGGAGGGGAAAGACCAGTTGTGTACCTGGTCTTCTGCAGCCTTTGGGAACAACCCATAGTCTTTTGAGAATTGAGAGTGGGCCTTCAGATTAAGTGATGGGGCTACTACAGATGTAACTGCTCCCTGGTAAATTGCACTTCAATTCATTTCAGTAATCTTTTGAATGTTTCAGGCTTCTCTCTGTACATCATACGGCTAATTAATCCAAACTAAACATCATCTACACAAGCCCCTTGAATTGTTTCAACACTTATTGGCTGTTTAAAGATGATAAAAGAAGAGTGAGTAACAGGTTAGGGAAATTAGCAACCATATATACTGAGGATCACAACACAGTGTCCCTAGAGGGCAAGGGAGAAGGCCTTATTCCTAATTCAGGATTAAGAATGGTCAAGAATCCGTTTAAAAATATAGCTAGGGCATTTTCAAAATACAAAGGCAATAACAAAGTAAAATGTAAAACAAAAAAATGTTATTGATTCCGTCTCCACACCACAGTCCTATAACACATTAAAATATTTCAAACAATAAAAACTACAGAATCTACAGTTCTTGATGGAAAATTAATTTCACTGCAAGCTCCGACATTGTGAAGTGTTTCAGAGTGCAGTGATGCGAAAAACTAACTTGGCTGATTTCAGAGGAATTGACCCAATATTCCTTGGCAGTTTACATTCAGTGCCATGGATCAGTCTAAGACAGCCTCAAAGATGAAACAAAAAACAAAAAAAGCTAGCCGTTTCCCCTTGAGGAAAACA